AATACGGTGACTATACTTACCAACCTTGCTTGAGGTACTTATAACTCTACATATAACTACCCCGAACCTCCGGGTATAGACTTGGTAGCCCAGGATCCATCTTATAATAAGGGCACCCTTTTCGGGGTTGGTTACTTTACATAGGAAACCTTGAACCAACAACAAAAACGGGACAAGGGCACCACTGGGCTACAAAGTAGACCAGTCAGAGAAGTTAAAATCTGCCAAGAACCAGTCAGTCTGCCTAAACCCTAAACCCTAAACCCTAAACCCTAAACCCTACACCCTAAACCCTAAACCCTAAACCCCAAACCCTAGGGAGTCCAGGTCGCAACTTCCGGATCGTGGTGCCGCCCGCGCGGGACTGGTGCATGAAGACAAGGGGTGTGCTCTCCGAAACGTGCCTTGGGCCACGCGTTTGGTGTGGTGTTTAGGGTTTAGGGTTTAGGGTTTAGGGTTTAGGGTTTAGGGTTTAGGGTTTAGGGTTTAGGGTTTAGGGTTTAGGGTTTAGGGTTTAGGGGTTAGGGTTTAGGGTTTAGGGTTTAGGGCTTAGGGCTTAGGGCTTAGGGTTTAGGCTTAGGGTTTAGGGTTTAGGGTTTAGGGTTCGGTGACTCAGGCGCTTGAGGGCTTAGGGTTCGCCCAGGTTGACCACATGTAGCCCGAGAAGTCGAATGGCCTTACTCCATTGGGTTGCTTTGTGTGCAGTTAGTGTACCGCGTTGCCCCTAGGCAAGGCCTGAGGTGTTCAGAGTCTGACTTCTTCAAAGTCAGCAGAAGACGCTACACTCCCTCACAAACAAAAGCTATACTCCTTGACGTGTTGTATGGCTGTTTAGACCTGCTCGCGGGCGCCGTGGGTTCGCGTGGAGGGCTTTAAACGGAGGTTGCTGTATAGCGTTTTGGGTTCCCAGAAAGTTAAAAATAGTCTCCCCGCTACTGAGCACCACCAAGTGCCCCTAAGGTGTAGCCCTGAAGCGCAGCAAGGGTTTTGGGTTTAGGGTTTAGGGTTTGGGGTTTGGGGTTTGGGGTTTAGGGTTTAGGGTTTAGGGGAAGGCAAACAAAAATGGCACAGCCTGTGTCTGGTTCCGGTGCGCCCCCATGTAGGGTTGAGGCTCTGTAGGGTTACCTGAATTGAACCTAAGAGTTCTTGAACCTCTCCGACAAATGTTCCTAAATCTAATCCTCTTACCCCCAATCCAATATGGGCAAAGTATCAAATATGCCCCCAATTAAAAGCCTAGGTTGGGTTTGAAACCCTTCTGTACTTGTCTTCACCCTAATATGGGAAATGAAAAAAGACAGGGGTCTACCTAAGAACCTCAACCCCTCAACCCTGACCCTAGAACCACCGGAACCTTGAAGCCAGAACATACCCCCAAATAGGGTTTAGGGTTCAGGGTTAGGGTTTTGGCCTCAGGGTGAAACCCTAAACCCTGTGCCCTAAACCCGACAGGCTTACACTCCACCCTATAAACAGAACACCTTATATCCTAAAACCCTAAACCCTTTAAACCCTATAAACCCTAAACAACCCATAACAGCCCTTAGAAGCCCTTAACAACCCCATAAAACCCTACACGGCCCTACACCCCCAAAACCCTAAACCCTAACCCCTGTATAAACCTAAGCCCTAAACCCTGTATCACCCCTAAACCCTGTATAACCCCCAAACCCTAAACCCTAGACCCTGAACCCCCAAACCCTAAACCCTAAACCCTAAACCCCAAACCCCAAACCCCAAACCCCAAACCCTAAACCCTAAACCCTGATTCGCCAGCCCGTGCTGCTCGTTGAAGCTGGGCATCGGCCGATCCAGGAAGCGCTGGATCCTGGGGCTCTGGGGGTCAGAGGGGGTTTAGGGTTTAGGGTTTGGGGTTTGGGGTTTAGGGTTTAGGGGCTTAGGGGTTTATAGGGTTTATAGGGTTTATGGTACTAAGGGATGGTTTTGGGTTTAGGGTTTAGGGTTTAGGGGTTTAGGGTCTATAGGGTTTATTGGGTTTATAGGGTTTACAGGGTTTATGGGGTTTAGGGTTTAGGGTTTGGGGTTTAGGGTTGATAGGGTTTGTGGGGTTTATAGGGTTTATGGGGTTTAGGGTTGATAGGGTTTATGGGGTTTATAGGGTTTATGGGGTTTAGGGTTTAGGGTCGGGCTACTATAGTCCCAATTAAGGACTGTTAGTATCAGGGTGAACATCCCAAGGTTAGGGCCTTTTTTGTTAATTGCCACGGGTAATCTTATTGATCTTTATTTTATATTACATCGGTGATTATACGTATTTTCGTAATTTCATATGTATATATATATATATATATATGTTTTTTCTCGGTTGTTTATTGGTTTAGGGTTTAGGGTATAGGGTTTAGTAACGGTTTGGGGTTGAGGGTCCAGGGATAAGGGTGAAGGGGGTGTTTGGGATAGAGCTTTCGAAAAAAAGAGGCTTATTGGGCAGTCCAATGGGGGTTGTCCTCCAAGATCTCACGTGGGCTGCAGGGTTCTAGAACATCCCCCAACCCACCCTAAACCGGATCACCCCATAACCCTACAACCCTATAACTCTATGACCCAACCCTCACTCCCACCCCTACGCCCTACACCCTAAAACAAAAAAAGGAACGAAGACATAAGTCCTGAACCTGACAGGCATAAACTTATAACCCAAACCCCACCCCTAAACCCCACCCCTAAAAACCCCTAACCCTAAACCCTAAACCCTAAACCCCTAAACCCCAAACCCTGAACCCCTAAACCCCTAAACCCCTAAACCCTCAACCCTCAACCCCTCAACCCCTAAACCCCTAAACCCCTAAACCCTAAACCCTAAACCCCACCCCTAAACACTAAACCCCTAACCCTAAACCCTAAACCCTAAATCCTAAACCCCTAAACCCTAAACCCCAAACCCCAAACCCTGAACCCCTAAACCCCTAAACCCCTAAACCCTCAACCCTCAACCCTCAACCCCTCAACCCCTCAACCCCTAACCCCAAACCCCTAAAACCCCCAACCCTAAACCCTAAACCCTAAACCCTAAACCCCACCCCTAAACACTAAACCCCAACCCTAAACCCTAAACCCTAAACCCTAATACCCCAAACCCCAAACCCCTAAACCCCTAAAACCTCAACCCTCAACCCGCAACCCCCTCCCCTCAACCCCTCACCCCAACCTAACCCTCAAACCCCCCTAACCTAAACCCAAACCCTTTAAACCCCCCTAAAACTAAACCTACCTAAACCTGAAAAACCCTAAACCCCTAAACCCAAACCCAAAACCCTGACCCCCTAACCCTCAAACCCTCAACCCTCAAACCCCTCAACCCCTCAACCCCCTCAACCCTAAAACCCTCAACCCCTCAACCCTAACACCCCAACCCACCTCAACCCCTAAGCCAACCCCTAACCCTAACCCTCAAACCCCTAAACCCCAACCCTGAAACCTAACCAACCCTAAAACCCTCAAACCCTCAACCCCTCACCCCTCAACCCCTCAACCCCCCAAACCCTAAACCCTAAACCCCACCCCTAAACACTAAACCCCTAACCCTAAACCCTAAACCCTATTCCCTAAACCCCAAACCCCACACTCAACCCCTCAACCCCTCAACCCCTCTAAACCCCTAAACCCCTAAACCCCTAAACCCCTAAACCCCTAAACCCCTAAACCCCTAAACCCCTAAACCCCTAAACCCCTAAACCCCTAAACCCCTAAACCCCTAAACCCCTAAACCCCTAAACCCCTAAACCCTATACCCTAAACCCTAAACCCTGAACCTGACAGGCGCGGCACATCACATGGGCAAACTCTGAAGTGTTCACCTTGCCGCTGCTGTGGTTCCCCTGAAAGGCTCAAAGCTTTCAGGCAGCTCAAGGTTTAGGGTTTAGGGTTTAGGGTTTAGGGTTTAGGGTTTAGGCTTCAGGGTTTAGGGTTTAGGGTTCAGGGTTTAGGGTTTAGGGTTTAAGTTTAGGGTTTAGGGTTTAGGGTTTAGGGTTTAGGGTTTAGGGTTTAGGGTTTAGGGTTTTGGGTTTAGGGTTAACCCTAGGGTTTAGGTTTTAGGGTTTAGGCTTGCTATGGTGAGTTCTCGAACTGATGGTCCCTTGTTTGTCCTATTGTGCAACGGCCCCCCAAAGGCAAGGTACCGCAGCAGGACCATCGTGTGTTTATACTTGGGGTTTAGGGCTGCGGCTTAAGGCATCTACTGGCGCGAAACCAAACCCCACACCCTAAACCCTAAACCTTAAACCCTAAACCCGGCGGCCTTGCTCACATTGCCAGTCAGCTGCAAAGCGCACTGAGCGTCCTGGCCACGCAGGTCCGTCACGGATTAATTAGGTCTAGGGGCCAGGGTCCAGGGTCCAGAAATTAGGGCCTAGGGTCTAGGGTTTATTGGGTCTAGGGATGAGGGTGCTAGGAGGGTATTCGGGAAGCTAGGGCCAGGGCTCATGAGCCCTGTCTAGAACGTGGCCCTACATGTCCGAGACCCATTTCAAAGCGTGGGCCTACAAACAATGTATCTTCTTCAAGCAGGAAAAATTGAAGAAACTTGACCTCTTCCCTCAGCCCCGTTTTGTTAGTGAGCATTTTGCCCGACTTTATTTTCCCTTTGCAGATGCCAGCAGTTGCATTGCATTGAAAGGATCGTACCCGTTCACAGGCTCTGAGTGTGTGTGGAAAAGTCCTTTTGCGTTTTCATGGTAGCGGAGCAGCTCGATCCACAAGTGTTCAGCTGACTCCTGGGGTGAGGCCTCTACAGATCCTTTGTTCGAGACGTGTCGTAGCCCGCACGGTAGAAGGTCCTCGAGCTCCCCTTGAAGCCATAGACCTGAGCATTCCTGCCGTCGATTCGGGAGCCAGGCTTTTTTCTTATCACTTGCGAGCTGCATTTTCAGTCCGGTATTTACATGGCGACAGGAGCTGCAGGGTCAGGTGTGAATGGCCCCGAGATTCCTTCCGATGATGATTTAGAGGCTCCTCAAAGCCCTTTGTCTCCTGGACAAGCTTCCATGGGGCAAGCAGAGCAGCAGCTGGTGAACATCTTGCAAGGTGTAGCCCAGACACAGGCTGCCATGACTCAGACACAAGCTGCCTTAACCAAGTTCCTGCAAGAGCAAGATTCAGCGAAGGGTAGCTCCAGCTTGAAAGGAAGAGACCTGGCCAAGGTACTCAAGCAGCCGCCTCCTTTGGTGGCCAAGAATCGTGATGAGGAGCTTGGGGCTTGGCCATCCTGGAGCTGGGAGTTCGAGCAATGGCTAACTGTTTTGGATCCGGCTTTCACAGCAGATTTGGCCAGCATCAAAGCAAAAGGCAACAACGTGATCACCGAAGCCGAGCTTAGCGATGAACAGAAAGAACGAAGCAAGCTGCTTTATGGTATTTTGGCTGGTTTGTTGCATGATAAGGGCAAGCGTCTTTTGCGAAGTATTGGTGGACAGAATGGTTTTGAGGGATACCGAAGTATTTCTGCCGATTTGATGCCGAGCAATCGTACAAGAGCCTTAGCCCTTTTGCAAGCCATCAATTCTTGGCCTACTTTCGAGAACAAGCATGGTATTGCACAGCAACTTTTAAAGCTTGAAGCTGCAATGAATGAGTATGAAACTTTGCAGCGCGGCGGCCTTACAGAAGATACCAAGATTGCGGCTGTTTTGCGATGGGTCACAGGGCAACTTCGTCAGCATGTGAATGTTCTTGTCACTGACACCACGACTTATGATGAAGTCAGAGCTTTGGTCCTGCGTTGGGATGCAGCGCAGCAGCGCTGGAGCCATTCAGTGGCCCAGAGCTATGGCCTTACCGACCCTAAAGTGCACCCTAATGACCCTAATGGCCCTGCGCCTATGGATGTGGATGCTGTTACAAAAGGCCCCAAAGCCAAAGGCAACAGAGGCAAGGACAAAGGTAAAGGCAAAGGCAAGTGGGACAGCAACAAGGGCAAGGACAAAGGCAAAGGCAAAGGCAAGTGGGACAAGAACAAAGGCCAGCAAGCATATGCACAAGGTTCAGGCAAAGGAGGCCAAACCCAAAACCCTAAAGGAAGTATGCAGAGTGTCACGTGCCACAACTGCGGCCGAAAAGGCCACTATGCGCGAGATTGCTGGAGGCCTTCCGTTGCCCAGGTTGCCCAACAGCCTGCCTCCTCAGAAGCCGCCCCTACTGTTGCGCCTAGCAGTTCTGCATCTAATGCTGCTCCGAGCGTTCGTCGAATTGAGCTTCGGTCTTTCGACATGACAGGCCTCGCGTTCTCCGGAAACTCAGTTCACATGGTCACAGCTGTGCCTCATTATGACATGTCCAGCTCAGATGACGATTCAGACTGGGTTCTTTGTCCAGGCTTGTGTGACCCGAGTGCCGAGGGATCGTCAGATTCCCCGAGTCGAGGCCAGCACCTTGAGCCCATGTCTGAGCCTTTCAGTGTTTGCGCAGTCAGCAGCCAGCAGAGTCGACATTCTAGAGTCATCCTGGACAGTGGTGCAGACCTTTCGTGCCTCCCTAGAAGCTTCTGCACTTCGGGTAAAGCTGCTAGATCCCGGCCGATGTCAGTTCAAGATGCGCAAGGCGGTTCCATGAAGGTCCATCAGGAACGAAATGTCGAGTTCATCCTGACAGCCCGTGATCAGGAGCCTGTCCTGATTAAGGAGCGATGCATCGTGGCTGACGTTGTTCAGCCCATCTTGTCGATGGGCCGGCTTATCCACCAAGGATGGTTCCCTTCCAAGGACTCAGAAGGCCTGCATCTGTGCCATGAGCGTGGCTCGATTGAGGTTCCGGTTGGGTTTAAGGGTCATAGTCTGGTTGTTGATGCGGTAATTCGTCGTATCGATGGTGAAGATGTCGAGCAGCATGTGCGCGCGTACACTGCAAATGTGTCTGAAGACCTTTCCTCAATGTCCTTTGGCTGGCAGATTATGGCTTCAGGTCATTTGGCTTGGCGGGGCATGAGTGAGCGGTTTGTGGATCCAACATACATGACCCCTGAAAATCGCTTGATGTTTCGCACGACTCTTGTCCGACAGGCCGGTCGTTGGATTGTGCTTGAGCAGTGTGTTGACATTTCCGAGCTTGACGACCTCGAAGCCCAAGCCGTTCCGAACCCATGTGAGATGATTGTGGTCATGAGCTCGAGCGCCGAGCCCACAGCCGAGTTTGGTGTCTTTGATGCCGGCGACGGGCGCTTTGAGTTGAGTGACTTAGGCCCTCCGGATGCAGCAGCTGCGAACTTTTGGGGCGACACCGATGCTTATGACGATGTTGAAGTGCCGGATGCTCTGATTGAAGCATCAGAAGAGGTCGAAGCTGGTGTCGGCCCGCTACATGAAGGTGGCCCAGATTCTGTCTTGCAACCTGTGATGCCTGATGCACAGGAAGTTGCCCCCGCTGTTGAAAGCCCGCCTGAAGAAGTTGTGGTCGATGAAGTTCGGTTGTCCGTGCAAAGCGCCATGAATGCACTGCGAGCTGGTTGTCGCAGTCTTGGCCTTGCCACCTCCGGTTCTCGCTTGAAGTTGTTCAGTCGGTTGAAAGGATATGTGGAGCGGCAGCGCTTGTCACTTTCGATGGAGTTGGCGGACGATGCGGCCAACCTTGCTGTTAGAGACCCGCATGTTCAGGCGCAGCCACGTGTGCCTAGTTTGCTTGAACAAAGGCTCCATGAAGTGACGCACACTCCTTATCAGCCTTGGTGCCCTCATTGCACTGTCATGAAGGCAATGCCAGACAGGCATGAAGAACTCAAGGAGCGAGGGCCGAGAGATATACCGTCGGTGTCGTTCGACTTCATGTACACTGGATACGACATGCAAGAGCCTCAGGAGCCGAGTGAGGCCGCTGGCCCCGGCAATGACGACAACTTGTGTTGCTTAGTTGCGCATGACACAGACACTGGCTCCATCCTTTGTGTGCCTTGCGTATCGAAAGGTGATGCGAGGTACCTTGGCGCTGAGCTGATGCGCTTTTGTCAAAACCTTGGGCATGTTGAGCTTGAGTTGCGCACTTTGAGTTTGCAGAACGTCGTAGTTGCAGCACGCCACCGGCTTGGCCTGCGCACGGTGGTTCGCAATGCGCCTGTTGGTTCGCACCAAGCCAAGGGTTACGTGGAAAAGGCCGTGCATTCAGTGCGGTCATTGGCCAATGTACTGTTGGACATGGTTCGCGCCAAGTCGACGTTGGACATCGGAGTGGCTCACCCGCTCTTTAGCTGGGCATTCACTCACTCAGCTTGGATCCTTAATCGGTTCCGAGTCCTCGGTGGCCTGACAGCGTACGAAAGAACACACCACAGTCGTTACTGTGGGAAGCTGGTACCTTTCGGAGAGCCAGTCTATGCCCAAGTGATTCCCAGACGCAAGGGAAACCCGAAGTGGATACTTTCCATCTTTCTCAGCAAAAGCGTTTCCAACGACATGTACATCGTTGCCTCGAAGACTGGTGTTCGCTTGTGCCGGTCTGTTCGCAGGACAGGCCTTGAATGGTCCAAAGACAAGTCGCTGTTTGAAGGTCTGAAAGGGTTGCCCTGGGATTTTAGCAGCGGTGTTGTGGGTACTAGGTTTGTTCCTCTGCCCAAGTATAGGAAGCCTCAGACGCCTGCGACGCCTACTGTTCCTGCTGTTCCAGTGATTGAGAACTCCGCTGCTCTCGATGAAGCAGCCTCAGACCCTCCGTCAACTCCAGCCAGGACCCCTTTGTACACACCTGATCTGTCTGAAGGAAATGCAGTTACCCCGATGAGCCCAATTGTGCATGATCCACTGCAAGCTGCGCCCCGTACTCCGCCGTTGGCGCGAAGTGTTGCGCCTCCTGCATCTGTTGCGCCGGCAACAGGCGTTCCTCGTACGCCCGCAGCTGAGGTCATGAATCCTGCGCTGTCCTTCCCGCAGCCAGGAACTCCAGAGCATGAGCTACCGCCTCTTGGTCCGATTCTGGAAGATGAGATGCTCGCTGACGAGATCGGACGCGATGATGACAATCCCCGTGCAAGCAAGGCCCCTCGGATTAGAGCAGTTACTTTTGGCAAGTTTTCGTTCGATGTCAATGACGACCTCCTTGATCGCAACGCCTCGGAGTGGCAGGATGCCACAACGTATGTTTCGATGATTGACAGTGCCCAGGCTAGTGGTGAACTGGGTGTTGATGCTTTTCATGAAACCGAGATTGATGGGTTCGAACCTGGGCAGGATCATGTACTGTCTCAGGGCGACAGAACTCAGGAGAAGGCGGGGACTGCTGATGAGTCAAATGCTTCAGCCTTATGGTTCCCCGACACAGGCCATGGTGAGCCTGAGCTGAGTGAGAGTGAGCTTTGGAGCTTAGATCGGCTCGCTGACGACTGCGAGCTGAATCGTCTTCTCAAGAAAGGCGTTCTTCGGCAAGCTTCTTCCTCCGAAGAGGGTTCAGATATGAAGCGACTCAGCAGTAAGTTTGTTAGAACTTGGCGGCGAAAGAAGAAAGGAGGAAAGGCTATGTTTCTTAGACGTAGCCGTCTGGTAGCGAGGGAGTTCCGGTGGTTAGAGGCTGATAAAGAAGGGTTGTTTTCACCATCAACCGCCACAGATATCGTTCGACTTCTCCCTGCTCTATTCGTTTCGTGGTCACAGTCAAAGCCTGGTGAGCAGTATGCTCTACTTGCGCTGGATATCAAGGATGCTTATTTGGAAGTATGTCAGGAAGAACCGCTGATGTGTGGCCTGCCATCAGACTACGACGGTGATCTCCGTTACAGCTTTGTGTTCGAGAAGATGATTCCGGGGCAAAGAAACGGGTCCCAGCGGTGGTTCAGCCACTATATCGACTTTCTCAGAGCGAATTTGCAAGTGGAACAATGCCTCGAGTGCCCTGCTGTTTTAAGAACAGAACACGGGCCAGCCATGGTGCATGTTGATGACTCATTGACTTTAGCTCCTTTAACCTGGATCCACAGTGCTTTCTTGCCTCTGATAAAATCAAGGTTCGAGTGCACATACGAAGTGGCTATGCAAGTTGGAGACACGTTTGATTTCTTGAAACGAAAGCACACGATCACAGAGCATGGTATTTTGATTGAGATGCCCAAATCGTACATCAAGCAGATGGCCGAGACATTGGGTGTTAATTACAGTCATTCGTGGAAGCACAAGTCACCTTGCCATCCGGACCTCTTGGGCGCTGACACGTCCCCCGCGCTTGACGAGGCAAAGGCTAGCAAGTTTCGGTCTGCCGTTGGCATTGGGCTGTACATATCGGCAGATCGGTATGACGTCTGTTTTGCTGTTCGAATGCTCAGTGCCTACATGCAAAACCCTACAGAGTTGGCGTGGAGATGTGCAATCAGAATGGTGCAATATTTGGTCACAACACAAGATTATGCAACATTGGTTAAACCGGGTCCACCTGGTACCAGCATCTTATCCCCGAACGCGGGTGGCTCCCACCTGCTAGAGGTGTACAGCGATGCGGATTGGTCAGGTAACAAGAAGCATAGACGATCGATTGGGTCTGCAAGTTATACATTTGATGGAGCATGCGTATACCACAGTTGTAGGACACAGAAGGTTGTGTCACTATCTAGCATGGAGAGTGAATGGTATGCTGCTATATCTTCGACATGCCAGGGTGTATATTTGCAGGCGGTGATTCGGTTTCTCACTTGCGAGGATTGCATTCTCGTTGTGCGCCTAGACAATGCTGCCGCCAGGCAGTTTGGACACAGACAGGGCGTGGGGCGCGCCAAACATATCCAAGGCCGACTGCTTTGGTTGCAGAGTTGGGTGCAGCAGAAGTTGGTGAGGCTTCTGGCGGTGCCTACCGCCTTAAACCTAGGCGACCTTTCAACCAAATCCTTGAGCTCTACGAGATTGCGAGGTTTACTCTTCTTGCATGGCTTTGTTTCGGGTTCAACCCTTGAGCCCATAGGCCAGGAGGAGTACGAAGAGATCTATCTGAAGAATCTCGTCCGAGAGCGCGTGCACCGAGTGATCAAAACTTCGAACATCAAGCAGACTCTCATGATTGCATTGTTGACATCCCTTCCTCAAGGTACACTTGGACTTGAAACAATGCCGACTTCAACCACGAAAGTGCTTTTCTTCTGCGCTTTGGTTTGCTTCACCGGTGGTATGACCTTCAGAGCCTTGAGCCTGTTCAAAGCCCTTGAAGTTGATGTCGCAAAGATCAGCTTTGCGGTGAGCGGAGAGCAGATGGCATTGAATGTGCTTGTCATTGTTCTCACGATGATGGCTATGGTGCAAGAGACATGGTTCGATACATGGCTTTGCTTTGGGTTGCTACTGGTTATTTGGGTTGCAAAGAACGAGATTGCAGTTCTTCATGCTGCGATGAAAGAGAAGGATTCACAGATTGCAGATCTGACTGCAGCGGCTGAGCCGAGCCCTGAACTTGAAGACGTTCCCAAGTATGTGTGATGCCTTTCACCTGCATGATTGCAGTTACTTGAAGAACAGTAGGAACCTCAAGCAGTACAGGCTGTGTAGCTCTTGTTTCTCAAAGTTTCGGTGAGTGCTGATGAGTAAGAGCTCAAAGCACTCAGGCGGGGTGAAGAAACTTGACCTCTTCCCTCAGCCCCGTTTTGTTAGTGAGCATTTTGCCCGACTTTATTTTCCCTTTGCAGATGCCAGCAGTTGCATTGCATTGAAAGGATCGTACCCGTTCACAGGCTCTGAGTGTGTGTGGAAAAGTCCTTTTGCGTTTTCAAAAATACTCCTAGGCCCAGGTGAACCCTGAACTTAACCCTCAAACTCTGAACCCTAAGCCCGAAGCCCCAAACCCTAAGCCCGAAGCCCTGAACCCTAAACCCTACACCTGCTTCAAGAGACCCTAAACCCTACCCTAAACCCTAAACCCTACACCCTACACCCTGCACCCTACACCCTAAACCCTAAACCCTAAACCCTAAGCCCTAAACCCTAAACCCTAAACCCTAAACCCTAAACAAGACACCCATGAGCTCCTCCTCGGCCCGCACAGAGGTGAGGATGGCGAAGGCCACGCAAGCTGCGGCGCAGGGCTTAGGGCATCCTAAGGGAGTCTACTAGCGGATGGGTTTAGGGTTTAGGGTTTAGGGTTTAGGGTTTAGGGTTTAGGGTTTAGGGTTTAGGGTTTAGGGTTTAGGGTTTAGGGTTTAGGGTTTAGGGTCCCTGGACGTGGTCCCTGACCTTCTGTAAAGGGTTCTGAAGTATGAGCCCTTGGGTTGTCTTGGGCATATGTAGCGGTTCCCCAAATAGGGGTCCATATTGAGGTAAGAGGCATAGGGCTTCGGGTTTTTGGTAAGCCACCCTACAAACCCTAAACGTTCTAAACTGTAAACCCTAAGCCCTGTAAACCGTAAATCCCACAAACCCTGTCAACCGGCAAACCTTACGCAACCGTGTAAAACCTTATAAACTTAAACCTTGCAAAACAATTTAAATCCTTGAGCTGTTGCCTTGGAGGTGCGGGGGGAGAGGACGGGAGCATCTTCTGACGAAGTCCGGAACAAAAAGCCTCGACCCTATGAGCCCTACGCCCGCAACGCCACTAAACCTTGCACCCTAACCCCCCAACCCTAAACCCCAAAGCCAGAAACCCCAAACCCTAAACCCGAAACCCTGAACCCCAAATCCTAAGCCCTAAGCCCTATCAAGGGAGTCATACTCTCACCCCAAGCCCTAAAACCTAATCCTAAGCCCAAGACCCAATAACACCCTAAGCCCCAAGCCTACATCCTGAGCCCTTGGCACAAGCTTGTATGCCATAAGTGGTTTCCAAGGGCTTTTCACAGGGGTCGAAAAATCAGGGGACCTTATTTGGAGCCCTACACCCTAAGAAATTAGGGATGTTCTTCCTTACACGAACAGTCCGAAGTAGGGATTAGAACACCCCCCTATGACAATCCGTTTAAAGAGCTGTTAGTATATTATGGGGGGCCTCTTCCTAACCTATAAAACCCCACTACCACTCCGCTGCACACCTCGCAGCGCAGCAGCCATCGTTTCGGTCGCAGAGGCTAATAGAAGGGGTAGAACGTGAGCCGCGCCACGTGGGACCTGTTTAGGGTTTAGGTTTAGGGGTTCAGTTCAAAAACTTTTAGGGTTTAGGGTTTTGGGTTTAGGGTTTAGGGTTAAGGGTTTAGGGTTTAGGGTTTAGGGCCCTAACACTTCACCAAAAACAGAAGGGAACAGCTCCCCTCCCTTGCTGCCGAGCTGCAGGGCGGGTGTCCAGGAGTCGCTCACCCCCCCAAAAGAAGCCGACAAGGCGCAGCGATTGGGTGGCGGTTCAAACGCTTTAGGTTTCGGGTTTAGGGTTTGGGGTGTAGGGTTTTGGGTTTAGGGATGTAGGGTTTAGGGGCTGACGAGGTTTCAACATGAGATACAGTTCTGGAGAGTCCTCTTGGAAGCTATGGGAAGTGTGGAACTGGAATGTTCCAGCCCTTTTGTTGGGTGTGGGGACATATAGGCTGTTCAGGGACACGGAGATGCTGTAGGCTTACTGTAAAGGGGGTAATTGAGGAGGGCTTTGCCTTCTTAGGGAGTACCCTAAACCCTAAACCCTCAACCCTAAACCCTAAACCCTAAACCCTAAACCCTAACCCCTAACCCCTAACCCCTAACCCCTAAGCCTTGACAACTAAACTAGACCTGCGCTCCATGTCTGAGGCTCCCGACACGGTGTCAGATCGCTTCCGACATGCCAAATACATCTCCTGCAGCTGCAAACTAGGGTTTGAGGTTTATATAGGGTTTAGACACTAAAGCCCTCAAAAGCCCTCTGAAAAAAAAAAAACAAAAAACTCCTAGATATGATCCTCTTGCACCCAAGTAGGGAAACATAATGACATATCCCAAGGGCCTACCTAGCAAAGATACCAGCGCAGAGAACGTAGCAACACACCAAAGCTAACTTCTTTGTTTCAAGCGGGGCTTCTAAAAGGGAACCTCAACCCTAAAAACAAAAATAAGGGCCTACTCTGGGTCCTAGCAACTTAGTGGCTAGCTACAGACATGTCATATTAGGTTTCCCTACTTCGGTGTAAGAGGATCATATTTAGGAATACTTTCATAGGGCTTTAGGGTCTAAACCCTAAACCCTAAATCCTAAACCCTAAACCCTAAACCCTAAACCCTTCTTTCAGAGGGCTTTAAAGGCCATCCTACATGTGGCGAGTTCTCTAAATAGTGCACCCTCTTGGGGTCCTTGTAAAGGCGGCCCCTCGTATTTGGAGCGCCCCAAAAGGGGATCCTAAGTTAGAGAAACCCTAAACCCTCATCCAAAACCCTAAACTCTATAGAAGACGAACCATGTTACCTGTGGGGCCATGCCATCCCCCTTGAACCGGGGGGTCCCTAAATAACCCTAAACCCTAAACCCTAAACCCTAAACCCTAAACCCTAAACCCTAAACAAACCCTAAACCCTAAACCCTAAACCCTAAACCCTAAACCCTAAATGAGGACGCAGAGCTGGGCCCGAGCTCGAAGCCAGCACCCGATCGCCGTTTGCAGGGTTTAGGGTTCAGGGTTTAAGGTTTAGGGTTTAATATCAGGTTTGGGGTTTGGGGTTTAGGGTTTAGGGTTAGGGTTTGGGGTTTAGGGTTTAGGGAGTTTAGGGTTTAGGGTTTGGGGTTTAGGGTTTGGGGTTTAGGGTTTAGGGCTCCTGAACTCCGCAATGCTCTCTGCAAAGCCGGCGCATCTGAAACGGGACCCGCAGCTTGAATCAGCGCAGCGCCTTTGTAGGGCTTGGGGTGTGCAGGGTTGCCGTAAACCCTCCCAAACCCGAAACCCTAAACCCTGAACCCTAAACCCCAACCCCCAACCCCTAACCCCGAACCTCTAAACCCTAAACCCTAGCCCTAAACCCTAAACCCTGAAACTACTCAAGCCGCAGCTCCTGCGCCTTCCGCCGGGCGCGCATCTTCCGAGCCTCAGGAAGTCAAGGCGACATCTTCCGGGGGACTTACTTCGTAGCCCAGTAACCATCTTAGAATGCCTAGTTGTCCAGTACCTAAAGCTTTAGGAAGTGCGGCGTCTCTGTCGCCCCGTGGTTTCATCACCCGGATCCGCGCACTGCAAGAAGGAGATTCTGCTCTCCACTGCCGTTGCCCAAGCATCATCAACGTCGATGCTGCCGTAGCCTCCACTCTCGCGGACCACATCTGCAGAAGCACCCATCGAAGCAAGGTTTCTCTGTACTTTGCCGGCATCATAGGATTTTGGTACAGGGAGGTAGCGCAGCACTCGACCCATTGCTTGCACCAGAAGCTCAGAAGCCGGAGGTCTTCTAAGTCGCTTGTGCCAGAGGCAGGAGGCCCCCCGTTGTGCCCACGCCGTTGGAGCCCGAAGCGGATTCCACCAGCACAGCTATGTTAACGTCCTCGTACCTAGGGGAACTAAAGGCTCACCTTTGGGATTATAAGGGGATTATATTGCCCCAAAAAGGTTAAAGATTGCCTACTCTACAACTAAGAATAAGAGCACCCTTTTTTGGGTTGGTCACGATATAAGGGAAGCTTCAACCAAAAGGGCACCACTGGGCTACCAAGCTTATAAAAAAGTGAGCTTTCTGGAGGGGTAACGGTTACAAAACCCGAAGCACTATAACCCTAAGAAGGGTTCTCTCCTACTACTACTACTACGACGACGACGACGACGACGACTACTACTACTACTACTACTACTACTACTACTACTATTAGGGTTTAGGGTGTAGGGTTTTGGGCTTAGGGCTTAGGGTTTAGGGTTTCGCCAGGATGTCTGGAGCACACACTCGAGGCGATTTGGAGCGCACACTGGAGGCCTTCCCCTCTCATAATCCCCAAAAAGGGGTCAAAGGTTGCCTACTCAGCGCCGCAGGGACTGAAGCCCTAGTTTCGGGCTTTTGGGGGATTTAGTTTATCCTCCATGCCACTGCAGACGTCCAGTGTTCGTCAAACAGGCTTGCGGGCTTGGGGCCGATGATTTTGGGTAGAGGAATCGGTTTAGGGTTTGGGGTAGAGGTTTCTAGGGCCTAGGGCTTCAGGGTACAAATCAGGATGCATTGCAAAGGATTCCTCACCATGGCCCTCCATTTCAGCTCCAAGAAATACATTGCAAGAGGTGGCATCAGCGATGTATGCGAGGTGCAAGAGAACAAGCAATGGTGGAAACTAACGACCCGGGCGCTGGCCCACAAACCTGTTGAGGGCAGTGCCCATGTCTGCCACATCCGATGAAGAAGTGACCGTTGTGACCTTGGTTTTGGCCAAACTGACCGAAGCCAACGTCGCTGTCTGTATGCTGAGGAAATCGACCGTAGCTTTGTAACTCAAAACCCTGAGCTCGCAACCCTTACATAGCCGTACCCCTGTGCAACCCAGCAAGAAAAAACCCATAAACCCTCAGCCCTACACTGTTGCAGCCCTGCAAACTCCCCAAGCCCCCCTGTCTCATCCC